GTGTATAGAGTGTATGTAAATAATCGTCGCTACCTGCACAACTGTTGTAATATATTTATTATTCGCACTATGTATGACCCCTACTGCCACACTACACAGTATTAGATAAAAGAAACATCCCTGTGTGTTTTCCATTATCCATTTAGCGGGAGACGAAAAGGGACAGCTGCAGACTTTTCCTATCACTTGTACATAGCGTGTGTGTAAATAATCGTCGCTGCCTCCACAACTGTTGTAATATATCTATTATCTTTACTTTTCATCAGTCCTACTGGCCACACTACACATTATTAGATAAAAGAAACATTTCAGTGTGTTTTCCATTATCCATTTAGCGGGAGACGAACAGTGGTCGCGGAAAGGGACAGCTACAGACTTTTCCTATTGCTTGTATATAGCGTGTGTGTAAATAATCGTCGGTACCTCCACAACTGTTGCAATATATTTATTATTCGCACTATGTATGACCCCTACTGGCCACACTACACATTATTAGATAAAAGAAACATCCCTGTGTGTTTTCCATTATCCATTTAGCGGGAGACGAAAAGGGACAGCTGCAGACTTTTCCTATCACTTGTACATAGCGTGTGTGTAAATAATCGTCGCTGCCTCCACAACTGTTGTAATATATCTATTATCTTTACTTTTCATCAGTCCTACTGGCCACACTACACATTATTAGATAAAAGAAACATTTCAGTGTGTTTTCCATTATCCATTTAGCGGGAGACGAACAGTGGTCGCGGAAAGGGACAGCTACAGACTTTTCCTATTGCTTGTATATAGCGTGTGTGTAAATAATCGTCGGTACCTCCACAACTGTTGCAATATATTTATTATTCGCACTATGTATGACCCCTACTGGCCACACTACACATTATTAGATAAAAGAAACACCCCTGTGTGTTTTCCATTATCCATTTAGCGGGAGACGAACAGTGGTCGCGGAAAGGGACAGCTACAGACTTTTCATATTGCTTGTGTATAGAGTGTGTGTGTAAATAATCGTCGCTGCCTCCACAACAGTTGTAATATATTTATTATTCGCACTATGTATGACCCCTACTGGCCACACTACACATTATTAGATAAAAGAAACATCCCTGTGTGTTTTCCATTATCCATTTAGCGGGAGACGAACAGTGGTCGCGGAAAGGGACAAGTACAGACTTTTCATATTGCTTGTGTATAGAGTGTATGTAAATAATCGTCGCTACCTCCACAACTGTTGTAATATATTTATTATTCGCACTATGCATGACCCCTACTGGCCACACTACACAGTATTAGATAAAAGAAACATCCCTGTGTGTTTTCCATTATCCATTTAGCGGGAGACGAACAGTAGTCGCGGAAAGGGACAGCTGCAGACTTTTCCTATCACTTGTACATAGCGTGTGTGTAAATAATCGTCGCTGCCTCCACAACTGTTGTAATATATCTATTATCTACTTTTCATCAATCCTACTGGCCACAATTCCCATTATTAGATAAAAGAAACATCCCTGTGTGTTTTCAATTATCTATTTAACGGAAGACGAACAGTGGTCGCGGAAAGGGACAAGTACAGACTTTTCATAATGCACGCTTGTATGTAGCGTGTGTGTGTGTAAATAATCGTAGCTGGCTCCATAACTGTTGTAATATATCTACTATTTTTCTTTTCATCACTCCTACTGGCCACACTACACATTATTAGATAAAAGAAACATTTCTGTGTGTTTTCCATTATCCATTTAGCGCGAGACGAACAGTGGTCGCGGAAAGGGACAGCTGCAGACTTTTCCTATCACTTGTACATAGCGTGTGTGTAAATAATCGTCGCTGCCTCCACAACTGTTGTAATATATCTATTATTTTTACTATGTATGACTCCTACTGCCCACACTACACAGTATTAGATAAAAGAAACATCCCTGTGTGTTTTCAATTATCTATTTAACGGAAGACGAACAGTGGTCGCGGAAAGGGACAATTACAGACTTTTCATATTGCACGCTTGTATATAGCGTGTGTGTGTGTAAATAATCGTCGCTACCTCAACAACTGTTGTAATATATCTATTATTTTTACTATGTATGACCCCTACTGGCCACACTACACAGTACTTTATCAAAGAAACATCCCTGTGTGTTTTCAATTATCTATTTAACGGAAGACGAACAGTGGACGCAGAAAGGGACAAGTACAGACTTTTCATATTGCTTGTGTATAGAGTGTATGTAAATAATCGTCGCTACCTGCACAACTGTTGTAATATATTTATTATTCGCACTATGTATGACCCCTACTGCCACACTACACAGTATTAGATAAAAGAAACATCCCTGTGTGTTTTCCATTATCCATTTAGCGGGAGACGAAAAGGGACAGCTGCAGACTTTTCCTATCACTTGTACATAGCGTGTGTGTAAATAATCGTCGCTGCCTCCACAACTGTTGTAATATATCTATTATCTTTACTTTTCATCAGTCCTACTGGCCACACTACACATTATTAGATAAAAGAAACATTTCAGTGTGTTTTCCATTATCCATTTAGCGGGAGACGAACAGTGGTCGCGGAAAGGGACAGCTACAGACTTTTCCTATTGCTTGTATATAGCGTGTGTGTAAATAATCGTCGGTACCTCCACAACTGTTGCAATATATTTATTATTCGCACTATGTATGACCCCTACTGGCCACACTACACATTATTAGATAAAAGAAACACCCCTGTGTGTTTTCCATTATCCATTTAGCGGGAGACGAACAGTGGTCGCGGAAAGGGACAGCTACAGACTTTTCATATTGCTTGTGTATAGAGTGTGTGTGTAAATAATCGTCGCTGCCTCCACAACAGTTGTAATATATTTATTATTCGCACTATGTATGACCCCTACTGGCCACACTACACATTATTAGATAAAAGAAACATCCCTGTGTGTTTTCCATTATCCATTTAACGGGAGAGGAACAGTGGTCGCGGAAAGGGAAAGCTACAGACTTTTCATATTGCTTGTGTATAGAGTGTATGTAAATAATCGTCGCTACCTCCACAACTGTTGTAATATATTTATTATTCGCACTATGCATGACCCCTACTGGCCACACTACACAGTATTAGATAAAAGAAACATCCCTGTGTGTTTTCCATTATCCATTTAGCGGGAGACGAACAGTAGTCGCGGAAAGGGACAGCTGCAGACTTTTCCTATCACTTGTACATAGCGTGTGTGTAAATAATCGTCGCTGCCTCCACAACTGTTGTAATATATCTATTATCTTTACTTTTCATCAATCCTACTGGCCACAATTCCCATTATTAGATAAAAGAAACATCCCTGTGTGTTTTCAATTATCTATTTAACGGAAGACGAACAGTGGTCGCGGAAAGGGACAAGTACAGACTTTTCATAATGCACGCTTGTATGTAGCGTGTGTGTGTGTAAATAATCGTAGCTGGCTCCATAACTGTTGTAATATATCTATTATTTTTCTTTTCATCACTCCTACTGGCCACACTACACATTATTAGATAAAAGAAACATTTCTGTGTGTTTTCCATTATCCATTTAGCGCGAGACGAACAGTGGTCGCGGAAAGGGACAGCTGCAGACTTTTCCTATCACTTGTACATAGCGTGTGTGTAAATAATCGTCGCTGCCTCCACAACTGTTGTAATATATCTATTATTTTTACTATGTATGACTCCTACTGCCCACACTACACAGTATTAGATAAAAGAAACATCCCTGTGTGTTTTCAATTATCTATTTAACGGAAGACGAACAGTGGTCGCGGAAAGGGACAATTACAGACTTTTCATATTGCACGCTTGTATATAGCGTGTGTGTGTGTAAATAATCGTCGCTACCTCCACAACAGTTGTAATATATCTATTATTTTTACTATGTATGACCCCTACTGGCCACACTACACAGTACTTTATCAAAGAAACATCCCTGTGTGTTTTCAATTATCTATTTAACGGAAGACGAACAGTGGTCGCAGAAAGGGACAAGTAGAGGCTTTTCATATTGCACGCTTGTATATAGCGTGTGTGTGTGTAAATAATCGTCGCTGCCTCCACAGCAGTTGTAATATATCTATTATTTTTACTATGCATGACTCCTACTGATCACAATACACATTATCAGATAAAAGAAACATCCCTGTGCGTTTTCCATTATCCATTTAGCGGGAGACGAACACTGGTCGCGGAAAGGGACAGCTACAGACTTTTCATATTGCTTGTATATAGCGTGTGGGTAAATAATCGTCGCTACCTCCACAACTGTTGTAATATATTTATTATTTTTACTATGTATGACTCCTACTGGTCACACTTCACATTATCAGATAAAAGAAACATCCCTGTGTGTTTTACATTATCCATTTAGCGGGAGACGAACAGTGGTCGCGGAAAGGGACAGCTACAGACTTTTCATATTGCTTGTGTATAGCGTGTGGGTAAATAATCGTCGCTGGCTCCACAACTGTTGTAATATATTTATTATTCGCACTATTTATGACTCCTACTAGCCACACTACACAGTATTAGATAAAAGAAACATCCCTGTGTTAATTCCATTATCCATTTAACGGGAGAGGAACACTGGTCGCGGAAAGGGATAAGTACAGACTTTTCATATTGCTTGTTCATAGCGTGAGTGTAAATAATCGTCGCTACCTCCACAACTGTTGTAATATATCTATTATTTTTACTATGTATGACTTTTACTGGTCCTTCTACACATTATTACATAACAGAAACATCCCTGTGTGTTTTCCATTATCAATTAAACGGGGGACGAACACATGGGATACAAGTGTCAATACAATTTAATAAATTGATGATTTAATTACCGCACAAGACTGAAGCAATGACTGTTTGTTTATAATATCTGTGAGATAGGAAGATCCAGCGCTCAATGAATGTGACCCCCGAGTCACATCGTTAACTCCTAATTAAGAACTGTCGATTTAAATTTACATCATCATTATAATTACAGAAAACACCGGCGTTGCATTGGCCCTTGATGACAGGTCTTTCACCACGATGCCAGATGTCAGCGATACTATCAAAATTTCACAGGCAGCTATTTCTGAATGAAATAATCCAGAAAGGTGATGGTCTTTAACCAACCAGATTGCTACTTACTTTGCTTAAGCCCCGCCTTTTTCAGTGAGTGACTCTTTTCCAAATACAGCAACAACCAATAAAAGATGTTGAATAATGCCTTATATGGCTTAAGATAGAAAAGTCACCGTTGAAAATACAGGGCAAAACTTATAAAAATTATAAAAAGATAAATTATAATATAAACTGTAAATAAAGAATCGGATACCATACACTGAACAGTTGTAATATTTATTATGTGTTAAAATTATAATAGACAGTGCATAACTGTAATATAATAAGAATGGTATAATTTGTTTCCGACAAGTAAGTTTTAAGTAATAAAACATGTCATAAGTAAAGTTTTTCGTTAGGAACTAAGAAACGTCTTTGAAGTAATATATATTTTTTATTCTTATAGATATACCTACTGCGTCCGATAATGCACGGGTAATGCAAAATGGCAAGAATGAGGACATTAGACCCATAGATGGTTCCCTGTTTGTGATTGTGTCTTCACAAACATGGCTCTGCAAGTACGCGCATACATCTGTGAGGCAAAAGAAGGTAGTTGTCATGCCATTTGAGTATTGAATAGAATTGCATGCTTCTACTAAATTTACAATTGTCTACAGTTTATTATACTACAGAGAACAGAAGACCTTACTGAAAGAAATGTCGGTCCAGTAGGATTCATACATGGTAAAAATAATCATGATATTTCAACAGTTGTGGAGGTAGCGACGATTATTTACCCACACGCTACATACAAGCAATATGAAAAGTCTGTAGTTGTCTGTAGTTGTCCCTTTCCGCGACCAGTGTTCTTCTCCTGTTTAATTGATATTGGAAAATACAAAGGGATGTTTCTTTGATCTAATAATGTGTAGAGTGACCAGTAGGAGTCATACATAGTAAAAATAGTAAAGATCTTACGACAGATGTGGAGGTAGCGACGATTATTTACCCACATGCTATATACAAGCAATATGAAACGTCTGTAGTTGTCCCTTTCCGCGACCACTGTTCGTCTCCTGTTTAATTGATATTGGAAAACACACATGGATGTTTCTTTGATATAATAATGTGTAGAGTGACCAGTAGGAGTCATACATAGTAAAAATAATAAATATATTACAACAGTTGTGGAGGTAGCGACGATTACTTCCTACACCCAATAGACAAGCAATGTGAAAAGTCTGTGGTTGTCCCTTTCCGCGACCAGTGTTCGTCTCCCGTTAAATTGACAATGGAAAACACACAGGGATGTTTCTTTTACATAATAATGTGTAGACGGTCCAGTAGGAGTAATACATAGTAAAAATATTAAATATATTACAACAGTTGTGGAGGTAGCGACGATTACTTCCTACACTGAATAGACAAGCAATATGAAAAGTCTGTAGATATCCCTTTCCGCGACCAGTGTTCGTCTCCTGTTTAATTGACATTGGAAAACACACAGGGGTGTTTCTTTGATATAATAATGTGTAGACGGTCCAGTAGGAGTCATAAATAGTAAAAATAATCGTTATATTTCAACAGTTGTGGAGGTAGCGACGATTACTTCCTACACCCAATAGACAAGCAATGTGAAAAGTCTGCAGTTGTCCCTTTCCGCGACCAGTGTTCGTCTCCCGTTTAATGGACAATGGAAAACACACAGGGATGTTTCTTTTACATAATAATGTGTAGACGGTCCAGTAGGAGTCATACATAGTAAAAATATTAAATATATTACAACAGTTGTGGAGGTAGCGACGATTACTTCCTACACTGAATAGACAAGCAATGTGAAAAGTCTGCAGTTGTCCCTTTCCGCGACCAGTGTTCGTCTCCTGTTTAATTGATATTGGAAAACACACAGGGATGTTTCTTTCATATAATAATGTGTATACTGACCAGTAGGAGTCATACATAGTAAAAATAATCATTATATTACAACAGCTGTGGAAGTAGTGACCACTATTTAACCACACGCTATAAGCAAGCAATATGAAAAGTCTGTAGTTGTCCCTTTCCGCGACCAGTGTTCGTCTCCTGTTTAATTGATATTGGAAAACACACAGCGATGGTTCTTTTATATAATAATGTGTATACTGACCAGTAGGAGTCATACATAGTAAAAATAATCATTATATTACAACAGCTGTGGAAGTAGTGACCACTATTTAACCACACGCTATAAGCAAGCAATATGAAAAGTCTGTAGTTGTCCCTTTCCGCGACCAGTGTTCGTCTCCTGTTTAATTGATATTGGAAAACACACAGGGATGTTTTTTTATATAATAATGTGTAAAGTGACCAGTACGGGTCATGCATAGCAAAAATATTCTATATATTACAACAGCTGTGGGGGTAGTGACCATCATTTACCCACGCGCTATATCCAAGCAATATGAAAAGTCTGTAGTTGTCCCTTTCCGCGACCAGTGTTCGTCTCCTGTTTAATTGATAAGTGAAAACACACATGGATGTTTCTTTGATATAACAATGTGTAAAGTGACCAGTACGGGTCATGCATAGCAAAAATATTCTATATATTACAACAGCTGTGGGGGTAGTGACCATCATTTACCCACGCGCTATATCCAAGCAATATGAAAAGTCTGTAGTTGTCCCTTTCCGCGACCGGTGTTCGTCTCCTGTTTAATTGATATTGGAAAACACACAGGGATGTTTCTTTGATATAATAATGTGTAGAGTGACCAGTAGGAGTCATACATAGTAAAAATAATAAATATATTACAACAGTTGTGGTGGTACCGACGATTACTTCCTACACTCAATAGACAAGCAATGTGAAAAGTCTGTAGTTGTCCCTTTCCGCGACCAGTGTTCGTCTCCTGTTTAATTGATATTGGAAAACACACAGGGATGTTTCTTTTACATAATAATGTGTAGACGGTCCAGTAGGAGTCATACATAGTAAAAATAATAAAAATATTACAACAGTTGTGGAGGTAGCGACGATTATTTCCTACACTGAATAGACAAGCAATGTGAAAAGTCTGTAGTTGTCCCTTTCCGCGACCAGTGTTCGTCTCCTGTTTAATTGAAATTGGAAAACACACAGCGATGGTTCTTTTATATAATAATGTGTATACTGACCAGTAGGAGTCATACATAGTAAAAATAATCATTATATTACAACAGCTGTGGAAGTAGTGACCACTATTTAACCACACGCTATAAGCAAGCAATATGAAAAGTCTGTAGTTGTCCCTTTCCGCGACCAGTGTTCGTCTCCTGTTTAATTGAAATTGGAAAACACACAGCGATGGTTCTTTTATATAATAATGTGTATACTGACCAGTAGGAGTCATACATAGTAAAAATAATCATTATAATACAACAGCTGTGGAAGTAGTGACCACTATTTAACCACACGCTATAAGCAAGCAATATGAAAAGTCTGTAGTTGTCCCTTTCCGCGACCAGTGTTCGTCTCCTGTTTAATTGATATTGGAAAACAAACAGGGATGTTTCTTTTATATAATAATGTGTAGACGGTCCAGTAGGAGTCATACATAGTAAAAATAAGAAAAAATATTACAACAGTTGTGGAAGTAGTGACCACTATTTACTGACACGCTATAGCCAAGCAATATGAAATGTCTGTAGATGTCCCTTTCCGCGACCAGTGTTCGTCTCCCGTTTAATTGATATTGGAAAACACACAGGGATGTTTCTTTTATATAATAATGTGTAGACGGTCCAGTAGGAGTCATACATAGTAAAAATAAGAAAAAATATTACAACAGTTGTGGAAGTAGTGACCACTATTTACTGACACGCTATAGCCAAGCAATATGAAATGTCTGTAGATGTCCCTTTCCGCGACCAGTGTTCGTCTCCCGTTTAATTGATATTGGAAAACACACAGGGATGTTTCTTTGATATAATAATGTGTAGACGGTCCAGTAGGAGTCATACATAGTAAAAATAAGAAAAAATATTACAACAGCTGTGGACGTAGTGACCACTATTTACTGACACGCTATATCCAAGCAATATGAAAAGTCTGTAGTTGTCCCTTTCCGCGACCAGAGTTCGTCTCCTGTTTAATTGATAAGTGAAAACACACATGGATGTTTCTTTTACATAATAATGTGTAGCCGGTCCAGTAGGAGTCATACATAGTAAAAATAAGAAAAAATATTACAACAGTTGTGGACGTAGTGACCACTATTTACTGACACGCTATATCCAAGCAATATGAAAAGTCTGTAGTTGTCCCTTTCCGCGACCAGTGTTCGTCTCCTGTTTAATTGATAAGTGAAAACACACAGGGATGTTTCTTTTATATAATAATGTGTAGACGGTCCAGTAGGAGTCATACATAGTAAAAATAAGAAAAAATATTACAACAGTTGTGGACGTAGTGACCACTATTTACTGACACGCTATAGCCAAGCAATAAGGAAAGTCTGTAGATGTCCCTTTCCGCGACCAGTGTTCGTCTCCTGTTTAATTGATATTGGAAAACACACAGGGATGTTTCTTTTATATAATAATGTGTAGACGGTCCAGTAGGAGTCATATCATTATGTTTCAACAGTTGTGGAGGTAGTGACCACTATTTACCCACATGCTATAAGCGAGCAATATAAAAAGTCTGTAGTTGTCCCTTTCCGCGACCAGTGTTCGTCTCCTGTTTAATTGATAAGTGAAAACACACAGGGATGTTTCTTTGATATAACAATGTGTAAAGTGACCAGTAGGGGTCATGCATAGCAAAAATATTCTATATATTACAACAGCTGTGGGGGTAGTGACCATCATTTACCCACGCGCTATATCCAACCAATATGAAAAGTCTGTAGTTGTCCCTTTCCGCGACCAGTGTTCGTCTCCTGTTTAATTGATATTGGAAAACACACAGGGATGTTTCTTTGATATAATAATGTGTAGAGTGACCAGTAGGAGTCATACATAGTAAAAATAATAAACATATTACAACAGTTGTGGTGGTACCGACGATTACTTCCTACACTCAATAGACAAGCAATGTGAAAAGTCTGTGGTTGTCCCTTTCCGCGACCAGTGTTCGTCTCCTGTTTAATTGATATTGGAAAACACACAGGGATGTTTTTTTTTATCTAATAATGTGTAGTGTGGCCAGTAGGAGTCATACATAGTAAAAATAAGAAAAAATATTACAACAGTTGTGGACGTAGTGACCACTATTTACTGACACGCGATATCCAAGCAATATGAAAAGTCTGTAGATGTCCCTTTCCGCGACCAGTGTTCGTCTCCTGTTTAATTGATATTGGAAAACACACAGGGATGTTTCTTTTATATAATAATGTGTAGACGGTCCAGTAGGAGTCATACATAGTAAAAATAATAAAAATATTACAACAGCTGTGGAGGTAGCGACGATTATTTCCTACACTGAATAGACAAGCAATGTGAAAAGTCTGTAGTTGTCCCTTTCCGCGACCAGTGTTCGTCTCCTGTTTAATTGAAATTGGAAAACACACAGCGATGGTTCTTTTATATAATAATGTGTATACTGACCAGTAGGAGTCATACATAGTAAAAATAATCATTAT